TAAAAAAAAAAAAAAAAAAAAAAACTTAGTCTATGAAATATGAGTTTATTTCTTGATATATTAACGAGTGTTGCATTTTTTTTTTTTTGAAATCATCTATGAGAATGTTTTTCATGTGTTAACATGTAAAGTTTAACGAAAAAAAATTATATAAGAATTGAATTTTTGTTCAAATTTATGAGTTTTTAATAAGTTTTAATTTTAATTTTTTTTTGTGCATCTAGTTTATGGGTTTTATATATTTTATACATCAATTTTTATTTAATTATTCTTTCATCAATTTTGATTGAATTATATAATTATAATTTAGCTATGTAACTATTGTTGGTGCTACTTAAATTCAAAGGAGATTTTATTCTAGAATGCCGATAGTTGATTCCTATTTATCCGACAGTCTGTCCAAAAGCTTAGCTTATTTATTTATCAACGATGGAAAAGAACCAATGTTAAAGTGATTAGTGAGTTGTGTTTTGTTTTTGCTTCCAATCATTCACGACCGGTCTTAATCAAACTATTTTGTTTATTTAATTTTTTAAAAATAAAACATCTTAAATATTAATTTAATTAAAAAAAAAATTTCGAGTATTCATGTGCACTAATATAATATAATAATGTTTTGGGTGTAAAATTAAATTGATGGAATCATAAATTTAGACAAGTACTTATAAAGTTTTATAGCATCTTATAAAAAATTGTATTCAAGGTGACAATTGAAATCATATCTCGATTCATTTAAGATTGAGTTGACAGGTTTAACAGCTTTCTAGCTAATAAGTTTTATATTTCAACTCAAAAAGGTTTTTCAGATTAAAATAAATATTAAATGAAAAAAACTTAAAGGATAAGCATTAAAATAAAAGTAAAAAAAAAAAAAAACATTTAGAAAATGATTACTCTAAACGAACAAATAAAGTTGCTTTGAATTATTCAAAAATAAAAAAGTGAAAAGGAGGCGAGAGGGAGGGAGTGAAATTACGAAAATACCCCCATGTCAGAGTCAGAAAAGTGTCAGAGTTAATGAACTCCTGTCACCGTATCAAAATTATTTCATTTTAAAAATGAAATTTTGTAAACGGTTCCCGTAAGGTTACTGTTTCCAGAGAGCGCGTGGGGTTCACATTCTTAGGACAGCCATGTGAGAAATTATTTTTTTGTAAGAGATTGTCGAAGTTCATAATTTTAACGCGGTCGAATATACGGAAAAAATAATTAAAAAATAAAATAGGTTAAGAGTGAGATTAATTTTATAATTTAAAATCCTCATTTAATAATTTATGTAGAGGTTGGGCGGGAGCATTTAATTCCTTCATTCAATTAACATTTAAAATCACCATGGCCATGACATGGATTCCCAAACACATACCATACCATGGCCCATGGAAAGGTGGGTCCCATCATTAAAGGTTTTTTTATTTTTTATTTTTTAAAGAAGAAAATCTGTCCACGTCCAGGTGGACCGTCACCGCCAAGGCCGTATGCGCTTAATGAGCCCATTCTCTCAGCCCAAATATTTTGCAATGGCCCAATTGAGCTTATTTTCGGCCCAAATCTCTTCCCATGGCCCAATTGAGATCATTCCCGACTGCCTTCCATTGAAATCAAGAATTAAGATGCAAACATTTTGATCAATTATTTATTAAATTTCGAAGCTTTGGGGTTCCTCTGTTTCATACATTTGGAAGAAGAAGAACCTCAAAGAAAAAGAAAGATTTTACATTATGATCGTGTTGTGCATGTGATGCCATCTGCAAAACTTCTATCTACTAATTTATTTCTTTATTTGCTGAATGAAACTCTCATCTGGAACTGAAAAAGCAATCAAAAATCCCAGATTCTACTGCACCCATTTGCTTATAATTTTATACCCGCAGCTCCACTGCGCTCAATTCCACGTTATCATCACTTGGATTTGTTTTCTGTGGGTTGTACGCCAAATCTCTGCACCTTTCCACTCCATCGTCTACTGACAAATAGATGTTTTCTTTCCCGATCGTGTTTGTGAATTCTGATGCTATCATCTTCTCCATCACTACGATTCTTGGGTTTACAATTCCCATCTGTTTCTCACATATGAAATTCGCAAGTTTTCAGTGAAGGAGATGGAAAAATGGTTTGGCGGGTGACTGAGAAATTACCTTAACTCCGTTCGCTTGCAACAATCTGCGAATTTCGATTAGTGTTTCAATCCCTGTCATGTCGATTGATGTAACTCCTGCACGAACAAACAACTCAGTGAGTGATAGATCAAAATTGTTGAGAGTGGATGATTTGGAAGGCAGGATAGTGGATTCTTACCACTCAATTCCAGCAGTACATGCTGGACGGATCCATCTACGGAATCGAACTTGGCATGCTCATCACGAACCCATCTCAAAATCCTAATGAGAAAACGCAAGAATTCGGCTGGTTAATCCGAGGCATCATGTTTGCAGGTAAACTGTTTGATAAAATGCGTGAATGAACTTTCATTACCTTTCTCTGATGTAGTTGGAGTTGGCATAATAAATAGGGGAACCAAGTTGAAGAACAATGACTCCAGGGACTCTCATTGCATTAGGATACTGCTCCACGTCTCTGTACAAATCAGTGTCTGGTATTTTCTCAAGCTTGCAAGTTGCTGGTCTAGCCATGTAAAGAAGAGCTCTCAGCAAAGCAAGACCCACCTGATAAAGATCATTAACACAATCCAATATGTAAGGAATTTTGAGCTTTGAAACTCCCTTGTTATGTGATGACAGAAACTACTGACCGAAAGCATTAAGCCAACATCCATGCTCAATAGAGCAACGCCCAAGAAAGCAGCCATACAAATGCAGAAATCGAACTTGTCGACCTTGAAAAGATGATATATTTCTTCGTATTTGATCAAACCAAACATGGCGGACATAATAATGGCGGAAAGGGCTACAAGAGGAGTGTAGCTGAAGAGAGGAGCTAGAAAGAGGAGCGTGAGAGCCATGAAGACCGCCATTACTACGTTTGACATTGCTGTTCTACATCCAGCATTGAAGTTCACTGCAGTCTTTGAGAATGGCCCTGAAAGGTAAAAATGTCATTTCATTTTGAACTGCTCTTTGTTAGAATGTAATTATTAGTTTAATTATTACCAGTGGTTAAGTAGCAGGAAGTGAAAGATCCCACAATGTTCATCAAACCAAAGGCTACCATCTCTTTGTTGCCATCGACTTGTTCGTTTTTCATTATTGCAAAGCTTCGACCAATCGCTATTCCTTCCTGAGATGGTAAAACCATGATGAATTATGAAAGCTCAGAGATTCAATTGAGAGAGACATAGAGAGAGCGCTAAGAACTTACAGCCAAAGCCACAAGGCCAGTGATGGCACCAGCTTGTACCACAGCTGGTAGATATTTTGGGTCAAAGTTCAAGGAGTGAATAGAAGGAGGGTTTATTCCTTTGTTCAAGCGACCCACCTGAGGTGAAATCAAGGCATACAAAATGAGAAAGACGGGTGTTGGTTCAGAAACTCCATTGATTGTGGCTTTAAGGATAGAAATGATACAGTTAAGATTCCATGCTGACTTCCATGGACGAGATATGCAACCAAACACCCGACTATCACTGTCACCATCGGAGCCATCGCTGATACCCAAAACAGCTTCGGGTTTCTATCTCTCTGTTTAACCAAAAACAAACAAACCCATTTGTTTTCACCGACAGAACCGAGATTGAAAAGGTGAGAGGAGAGGAAAATTTACTTACCAGGTACCTAGTAAACTGGAGGAAGACAAGGAAGACGACGCCCGTGACAGCACTTTGCCATCTCCACTGAAATTTGGAGGGAAAAGAAGAGAAAGTTTTAGGTCTGTGTTTGAATTCAAAAGACAGGAAGTTAAAACAGGAACAGGATTTTAACTAACCTCATGTCTAAGGGAGAAAACGGCATGGAGTACCGAATAGACGTCGGTTTTAGAGGTGAAATGAGTGAGTCCGAATATGCCTTTCAGCTGTTGCAGGCAAATGATCACAGCTGTTCCTCCCATAAACCCTATGATCGTCGAATGCGATAAGAAATCCACCAAGATTCCCAATCTGTCCAGTTTCATTCAACACGCAATCAGAAATTCTATTTTATAAAACAAGAAAAAAGGATTTATGGGGTCGCACCGTAGAATCCCTAAGGCCGTCTGCATGACGCCGGTGATTAAGGTGGCTGTTAAAACCAGGTGTAGATACAATGTGGGGTCTTCTTCCGGCGACGCCACTTCTCCGATGATTTCCGCTATTAGCAACGAACATGCCGCCACCGTACCCACCGCCAGATGCTTCGAGCTTCCAAACACCGCATACACAAGCGGTGGAACGAAGCTGGAATCTGCACCCACATAATTAATTACTCTAATTATCAGAATTCCAATACACACCCAACTGGTTAATCAATATCACCATAAAGACAGATAGAAAGCAAATAGTTAAATTTTGAGATGGATGGGACTCACAAAGGCCGATGATGGGAGGGAGGCTGCCAAGCTTAGCGTAGCTGATGCCTTGGGGGATGGCGAGGCTGGTAATGGTAATACCAGCGAGCAAATCATACTTAAACATATTAAAATTGTATTTAGGAAGCCATTCCAATATGGGGATGAAATACTGGACGGCCTTTTTGAGTTGGTGCGTTCGCCTATCACCACGAAACTGCCTGAAGGGATCATCGGGATAAAACGTCTCTTTCAGATCTGATTTCAGCCTCTTCACGAATGGTCTTGGAGCAGCAAAGTTCACATGTTGTTCACTTTTCAACGAACCCATCGGAGAGACAAAAAAAAAAAAAAAAAAAAAAAAAA